CTTCTTATAAGTTATATTTTACAAGATTTTATATTCAAAGCAAAAGATTGGTAATGATCTTCAATGTTTTGAAATGGTTTTTATTTACGTTTCTATTATCAATAAAAATTGATTTCAATCCAACCTGGAAAAAGTTGTATCAACTTTTATCACTTCATTTTGTTTTTTTACATTCTCGTTGTCTAATGCAAAAATCTTGTCTTTCAAGGTTTGTTGTTTTGTATGATTTTTTATATTCGCTTGTGTCAATTTGTTTATTCATATCACGATTGCATTTCAAATTTCATACATATCAAGTGAGATTTCATGATTGTTCTCATTCAGAAGTAAAAAAATCATCCAATTTTCAATATATAAATCAAGAAAGCTAAATTTGATACTCAAACATTTCTATAATAATTTTTAGCATAAATTTACTCAATGAAGTTTTTTCACACTCTCATCTATTGGTATGTTATTTTTATCTGTACATACTCGTTACATTAAATGATAACTAATAATTCACTATTCAAATCCATCAAAAAATTATTATAGAATGTATAGTATAATTTTAAATTTCTTTTAAACTAATCATTGGAAATATGAATGAAATTCTCAAGTTCATAACTTGAGTAAAAAATTTTGCACCTTAATTTGTCACAATGTACATAAAAAAATATTGATTCTCCATGTAACAAAGATGAATGTCAAACATATTGAACATAAATCATTATGATATTCAATGAATACATAAATGATTGACATTTAGTGTTCAATTAGCACAATAATCAATGTATCTATTTTTTATCTAACAAACACACAGATTATTGAAGTGTAAATATTAATTAACACACTTATTCTTTAACTACTAAATACACATATATTTTACATGATAACTATAGAAAATCCATTTTAAATAAACTCTATCTTCATATTGAGAGACTTCTAATTTAACTTTGATAAAGTAAAGATGATTACATATAATGTTTGTGATAATGTTGGTAAAAATCAGAATTTGAATTTGTGTATATGATAGCAAAGATGTTTATGCCAATACAAATACATCTGTTTTAATGATGTTGATGAGGGTAATAGCCTTGATTGAAATGAAAATACTGATACTAACGTGATTTTTGTAACTATATACGCAACAACTTATAAGAAAGTGGTACAAACTGATAAATCTCTATCATACAAAGTTGTCACAAATTTAGTGTCTAATCTTATTTTGATTCTTTTTTTCATGTTCATATTTCATCCCCACATTCTTTTGAATGATTATTGAATGCAAGTTTTAATATTTCTTTTAAGATAATCCTCCTTTACAGATTCTTCTTGTATAAATTGGAAGCCTCCAATTTTTTTTTTTAAACTTCAAAAGTATTCATCATCAATTTTATTGAACACAACTACCGACTTCATGAAAACTTTTAACAAGACTTAATAACAAAAAGTAACGTGATCAAGTAAAAGTCATTTTTTAATAGTAACGTGATAAAGAAAGCATGGAGAGGACACGATGAACCACTCATTCCACGGATGGAATGGATCAAACTTCAAACTGAGGGTATGTCCAAGACTTTTGGGTTTGGATGGGGCCTGAAGGAAAAACGCTCTATTGGTGGAAAGTGTGGAAAGAGTTCGGGTTCAATGTACAAGAAAACAATAGGTTCCTAGTTCTTCTCTGCCATGTGATCTTTCGACAGAAGTTCTATATAACTCAAAATCGCACTGATCACTGTTCCACAAAAATCGCATGTCCGAGGAGAACAAGATTGATGTTTGAGCTGGCTGAGAGTAGCAGCTAGTATTTGATCGTGCGAATCGTAACCAACCATTACGAATCGTTCAGCTCGTTGAGAGTTCTCCTCAAATTCAAGGGCATCAAGGCTTACATGTTCCTCCATCGTAATCCAGATGCGTAGGTCGGCAATGAGCAAATGCATCAAACTACGGCGACTGCAAGTTGAAGCTCTGCTTCTGCCTCCACTCACATTTTGAGTTTTGCATTCGGCCGCACATAGCAACAAAAAATGCTGTTCTGCATGACATACTCCTTTGTTTTGCGTTGTCGATTGACACGGAGTCTTGATTAGTGCCATGTCAAGTTCTAATTTGACAGAGCACTGGAAAATGAAATTCTTGAATGCAGCTTAAATTGTGCTGCTTCTCTCATTTGTTTTGCAAACGGTGTTCCAACAAATGAGAAGTCCTTGGAGTCAATTAAAAACATCGCTGGACGCCATCTCTGCCAAGGACTCTCCTGTTATCCGGATGGTAACACTCATTGCGCACTATAAATTCGTAATCATCATCATACAGGGATGTGAAGCTGGTCATCTTGTCTCCCCGATCTGTCGAATCAGTTGTTTCTTCCACTCTCATCTCCATCGACATCCGCCACTAAATTTCACTTTCTCTCTTATACGCCAAATAAAAGCATACTTAATCTCGCACTTTTCACTGAATGTATCCTGCCATACTCCTTCTTTTCCAATATTCCATATAATCTTTTACTTGTTTTTTCGATGAATATGCAACATCCACAATTCGCGAATTATCTATGCTTGAAGCAAATTGCAGTTTATGAATTTCCCTGTTTGAGAATATTCACAACTGCATAGGCTATGTGATTTTCTATTACTTTGGTACCTAATAGGACCAGAAAGTCCTAAATGGGATTGTGTGAAATCTCTTGGCTGTGAAATGTCTTATTCTGTCTATACCATATATCCGTAATTTAATTCGGATCTTCATCTCGTAAAGTTGGAAACTCAAAGTGTAAAGATGTAGATGTCGTCTCTCCTCAAGTCATATATCCACATCTTCAATACCCAAAAATTACATCTGGAATGCCGAGTTTTTTTCTCGTATTATCTAGATGCTGTAGATCTGCATGTGGCATTTCATATTTTAATCTCTAGTTTACTTCTTCGCTGCTATTAGTGTCAGATTTTCATTTTTGAAACTTTCACTCGTGAGTGTCTTTGATATATGAACATTCACTTTTGTGGCGTTGCGTGGAATAAGATACAAATTATTTACATAAGATCAAACACCTAAATCATTTTATGTTAAAGAATCACTTTGTCATCTTATCAATTTGTAAGATAACATTTCGTAAAAATTTCTGAGAATATCAATACCTTATCTTGATGGAGATTTTCAATTTATCTTGAAATCTATTAATAACTTTGATAGAATAAAAAATCTCAACAATTTTAACATTCATTAACGTGAATCTTATTATGCAACATACCTTTTATACCTAAAAGGATAAATTTTATAAATACTTTTTTATGGAACACTTGTATTTTTTTAAGCATACTAGTTCATTCAATATCATTATCCACAAATGAATAGAACAGTATTGTATATGAGTCGTTTACTAGGTTTAGAATGTTTATCTTGTGACTAATTATTTGAGGCATAACAAATGTTCATATAGAGTTAGGAGTAATCCAAACTACTTAAATTTCTATTATTATCTCATTTGAATGGAGTACAGTATATGAGTGTTTAGATCCGAAACCCTGCTGTATGATGTCATTATGGTGATCGATAGGACATGTGAGTATGGATTTTTTTATATGCCCAAAGAATTGATATGTTATCATTTTAATGTAATATATTCATATTTTCGTTCATGTATGTATTTTTATTACAAATATTATGATTAAAATTTTGATGTAACATATTTATACTTTTCTTATGTATAGTATATTATTACAAACGTGATGATTACTTTATATACATGTGACACAATAAGAAAAAAATATTAATAGGCATCTTGGTATGGAAAGTGGGTGTAATGTATTTAAATAAAGTCAAATTATTTGAGAAAATGAAGAAGTAAGGCTATAAATAGAAATAAACTGTCTGTTTTATCTAGTCATATGTTTTTATAATTAGAGTTCAATATGTCTATAAAATAAGATCAAAAGCTTACAATAATATAGAACACACATATATCACTTTAGTTAGTTTGTGATATGGAGAAAACACCGACCAATGATATATGTATAGTATAACAAGAAAATCAAATAAAAATAAAAATTTTATATATTGGCAACAAGTACAGTTTGGATATTGTGGTCTTTTGGATATAGCTCTATGTTAACGTTTGGACTCTTCTACGGAGGGCATGATGATTATTGGGTCCTTTTGGTTGTGTTACTTTGCCCAAATTCACTCTCTTTTCCGTCAATCTCCATTATCTTGTGGAGAACTCATGCACGTTAGCTTAAGTTGAGTTGATGCCCTTCTGAACCACAATTCAGTTGTTAGTGGCTTGGGATAACGATTGATTATCAGCTGTAAATTACACACACGCAAAATTTCAACAAGCTCAGCTTTGCATCATGCGACTTGTGAGTTTTGACCCATGAACGATTCTGTGGTTACTGCAAGGACCACCAGATGTCGTGAATGACGTATTCATGATTTTTCCGCACACGATTTGATCCATCTCAAGGCAAGTTTTCATTCAATGCTCTTACTTGGTGCTTATCAAACCCGGAGCTTCGTCCGTCTGCCTCTTCTCAAACCCTGGTCAGATTTCGCAGTACGGACCTGCAATGTGCATCTGTTACTGACGCTACTATCCTGGTAACCAGGTTTTGAAGCCTGAGGGTGCAGCCATTCAATTCTCTGAGTCCCTGTCCACGGCCTGTGACGAAGAAGACACATGAACAACTGGTTCACACTAATGTTTGTACAGACTGTAACTCACAGGGTCAAGCACCACAAGATCCTGCAAGAGGTCTAGAAAAGAATGCACATCTGGTGGTAATGCTAGATCATGATCTCCAGATATTTCCTCTTCGCATTTAGGAAGGACCTTCTGTCCAAGCGTCACATTTATGGGAAAGTTCGATAAAAGTGACGCTCAGAGAGAAGGTCCATCGGTGTATATGTTATATGTGATGCCTGACAGATAGAGAATGGAACAAGTGTTGAGTGAGTTACTCGCAAGTAAATCAAGCAAATCGTCAACAGGAGTCTCCCACGGTGTCGGAAGGATGGGACGAAAATTGTCACCCGGCAATGATGGCTTGGCTTATTGCGGGAAGGGGAGGGAAGCGGCCGGGAAGTTGGTCAGACGTCGTCTGAAGGTAGCAAGTCATGGAACGAATATGCCTACATCTTCGACGGCAACACCGGATGACTTTTTCAAACACAGATCAATGGCGGAGAGGACCGGAGTGGACCGGAGTCAAGCGGTCGAGAACGCCTGGCGGAGGGTGAAGGATGAGGACGAGGAGGAGAACGAGGGCCCGACTGCGCATGAGCAGCCTTCGGTACCACGACAACCTTGTAGACCCGGGCACCTAGCGGGAATCGCGAGGCAGCGGAGGATTTGATTTGACTTGGAAGTACACCGGAACGTTCCCGCTGCTGATTGCGTTACCTGGAAGTCTTGCACAGCAGGTGAGACGCGAATAGCGGGCCGGAATGGCGCGTAGATTCCGATGCCCGGGCCTCGTTCCAGACGCTCCGCCGGGCTCGAGCACAGCGGGCGGGCACTGAATGCGTTGTGATCCGCAGAGAGCCGTGGGAGTTATATGAGCTCTGACGATTCTGCTGAAACCATCGCCAGTGGTCCGAAAAAAAGACAGGCAGTAGGATTAAGAGTACGGTCCAGATGATAGACTAGACTGAGAGCGTATCAAATATATCATCAGCCGTTGTTCTTTTGCTCTGCGAGAGATAATAGTAGACATTGTTGTGGAGATCTCGTTCGTGTAGAGGTGAGGTTTGGTGATGTTGGGACACCTAGCTCGATAAGTGTGGGTTTATATTGCATCTGCATTGCAATTTTGAGAGTGCGAGGCAAATGGATTAGATTCCCTCTTTTCTCGTTTATTGTTGTAGATCTATTCTCGTTGAGTTGATCCAGCGACCACTTGCTGTCGTCATCATGTCGATGTCTCTCATTTGTGCGTTCCGTAGCTAGATTTGGTTATAGTAGAGAGTTGAGGAGGTTATTTTGCGCCCGTTTCTACCTTGTCTATATCACAATCGTAGCTTTTAGAGGTCGAGTATCAAGTGTTTAGAAACCTTCAAATTTCGTTTGTAATCGACAGATTCCTCACGGCTCCATTCTGCTTTTTCTTTCGGTTCTTTTCGTTGTTTATCAAAGACCTCGTAGCAGAGGAGTGGCATCATGGGACGGAAACAGGAGAACGGGGATGGGAGAGGACTAGAGTTGAGGAGCGGTATCCCTCTTTTTATTCAACAGAGTAGTGCACTTCTGAAGAAGAATGCGCTGCTATCTTGGCGAAATAAGCGAGCAACCTTTCTGCAATTGGTCTCGTCGCTCTTCTTCATATTCCTTATATTTGCAGTTGATCAGGCCATCAAAGCTCAAACCCGGAACACAACTGGGTTTAAGAATCTTTTCGATCCACAACCGGAGGAGGTCACTGCGATTCCCCCTTGTGAAGATGGTTTCTTTATAAAGACAGATGGCATAGGCTGCTGGGACTTCTTTTACACTCCAACTGGAAACGCTGATATTGAAAGAATAGTTTCGGCAATGAAGCGGAACAATCCACTCCGCGTAATTCCAGACAATAAGGTACCCTCAGCTGGATCCATGAATTTCGATTTCGATTTGCACTGATTGGTGTATTCTTATTGAAATTTGATAACAAAACCTGCACAGTGGACAGAAACACATTTGGAACGTAGTTTAGCTGCGTAGATTGCTCTTATCGATGCCACACCTTCATGAGCAGACTGATGAATGTGGGTCGTGCGAATCATTGTCGTATCGTTTTTCGCTATCGGCGCATGTTGATATTGAGCAATATTTGAGAGTAAGCTCGCACAGAAGTATGAACAAAATCTAAGGGTTTTTGTTCATATTGCTCAATTGCTCAATACTTACATTCTGAAAGATACCCCAGAATGTCCGCAAGGACTATTGTATACACCCGAGAAGTAGAGCAACCAACAACCCGCATGCATACATGCACTGTGTCGCAATTTTGCCAGCTTTTGGCAGTAGCCAGTTATCTGTGAGGTAATGCCCAGATGGGTTGAAGCAGAATAGGTAATGGTTACTGTGATCTCATTCTCCGCAAGTCATTGCGTCTCTGCAACCTGCAGCTCCTTGCCTAATCTGTGTACTATGTAGACCTGAAGCCTCAAACACGAAACTATCAGTCTGATGCTAGATTAATCTTTTACAGCAGCTTGTGAACTAGCAGCACTTTTTCGTGTGATTCTCAGATCATCCTCACCACTGACATGCAGAGTTTATTAATTTGGATGTAGGTTAGAGGGTTCCCGTCAATTGACGAGGCAGAAACTTTCTTGCTTCAAAATCCTATGCGGTGTCCAGCTGCCGTACACTTTGACATTAGAGCAAATAACGTGATCGCCTACGGAATACAGACCAACTCAACTGCCAAACAAATCCGAGGCATATATGAGAATGCCAATTTCAAATTTCAGATTCCTGTTCAAGCTGCCGTGGAACGAGAACTCACGAGGTTCCTTACTAATAGTAAGTATATGTCTTTACTTAAAATAATGGATGATATTAGTACAGTGGAATTCAGAGACTGTGCGTCAAGATTCTGCATTCACCTTTTCGTCCTTTTAATTCTCAGCGTTATTATAGGACTCTTTTGCTGTAAGTAGACTGTAATAGAGGCTAACTATCTGATGGATTGATTTTTTTTATCAAGCATACAGAAGAGGGACATAGGATGTGGAGTTGTAGGAGAAGTAACTACACGTTGACTGGCCGTGTGCAGCTTGTATACCACATGCCTCAAAATAGTACCAAAATTTACTTTTTAGTCTGATTCATCTGTACGTTGGGCCTAGTGTTTGAGTTATGGATGCAGCTCTAATGCCTCTCAAACGTGATGGATTATTATGGTTCAGATGCCAATCTCGCCTGGAACGTTTTTTTTACGGAGTTTGCTCACCCCAATATTGAAACATTCTCCACTGTGGGAACTATTGGACCTACATTCTTGCTAGCAGCAGCAATGTTTGGATTTGTTATCCAAATGAGTAATCTTGTCGGTGAAAAGGAGAACAAGTTGCGACAGGTGCCTGTCTCTTCTCTCTATATGACATAAATGAAGGAAATTGCTTCTACTGTTTTTCTGAGTTTACTGCAAGTGCTGGTTCCCATCATGCACCACTGAAGAATGGACGTACCTATGAAAGTTGCTTGGCTCGGTCTTACCTTTTAGTCCTCTTCATTACAGGCGATGTCCACGATGGGTTTAATGAACTCGGCATACTGGTTAACTTGGCTTCTCTGGGAGCTTCTTCTGGGGATCATATCTTCAGTACTTTTGGTTCTGTTCGGCATGGCTTTCCAGTTCTACTTCTTCCTTAACAACGACTTCTTGGTTTTATTCTTCATGTTCTTTCTCTTTGCTGTGAACATGGTAAGCCTACGTCTCCCCTTAGATCGCAGAGTATCGATGAGATAAATACTTTTGAGCACAGCAAAACTTCTTCAATGAGATGCAGGCTACAGGAATGGCTGCTTAGCTACTTATATCATCGATTAATAAGCTTCTTGAAGCTTGGCTTACCTTCTTCAGTCCTTCACATGCAGACGGGCTTTGCATTTTTGTTGTCAACATTTTTAAGCAAGGCTACATCGGCAACGAGCGTCGGGTTCTTTATCTTTGTCGTCGGTTTCTTGACACAGGTGAGGTCTTATTCTGCAAGGTCTAGTTTATTGTTTCTTTCTGGTTTTGGTTTTACTTACCCTAGCGTATACTTGGTGTTAACGTCACATTTTGTCTCTATGAAACAGCTGGTGACAGCCTTCGGATTTCCATATGATAAGCAATTTTCATCCGGTCTCCGGGGTCTATGGTCATTATTTCCTCCAGATTTGTTGGCCATAGGTCTGAAGTATCTGGGAGACGCCACGGCCACGAAGCAAGACGCGGGCATAAGTTTTAAAGACATAGATAAATGTTCCATCGGAAACGACGATTGTGTTTTGACCATGGTAAGCTTGACATACATCTAGTTCTTGTGGATCCTGCTAATCGCTTTTCAGTATTTTGCCATTCTACTTCCTGTTATCTTCGTCAATATTCTTTCTGACATGCTGTGCGTTGCTGTCACTGGCAGAGTCAAATATATATATGGCTAGCAGCAACGTTCGTCGTATGGTTATTGCTTGCCTTGTATTTTGACAACGTACTTCCTGATGCGAACGGCGTACGCAAACCTTGGACGTACTTTCTCCGCCCTTCTTACTGGGCTGGGAGCAGCAGCAAGGCTACCGAAGGTATCTCTCAATTTCTCTCACTTCTGTCATTTTCTAGTGTTTTATCTCCTTCATTGTCGCTCTCCACGAGCATGGACACAAATCATCTGTAGAAATTTTTGTTCATATTTTGTCTTTGTTATTTCATAGGAGGTGGATGCTGCAGTTGTACTCAAGCTGCTCCTCCAGCTCCAGAGTTGGGTGAGTTGGATGATGAGGATGTGGTCGCTGAGGAGGATCTTGTCAAACGACAGAAGCGGGATATTGTAGACGATCCAGCTGTTGCAGTTCGGATCCAAGGGTTGCGCAAAACATTTGCTGGCAAAACGGAGCTGAAGTGCTGTTGCAGAATAAAGTCTACAAAGCCATATCATGCTGTAAAGGTATGGACTGGTGTCCCTGTATGGTACTGCGCACTGTACTTGACATCCGGAAATTGACCAAGGTTGAATATTCTATAGCCCATGTTAGAGGTCGCCAGACTTGCACCTGATTGTCAGTCCTGCACTTTTCTTATGTTCACAGGATGTTTGGTATAATATCGAGAAGGACAAGCTTTTTTGTCTTCTGGGTCCGAATGGGGCTGGAAAGACGACGACTATTAACTGTTTGACCGGGATTATACCCACGACCAATGGTGACGGTAAGTCGACATTACGAGGAACTTGTATCATTATAATATGTGTGTATTTGATAGGCTTTTCTTTCTGTTACCTCGTGCAAGTTTTTTGAGATCCCTTCGTCATATTTATTCACATCTGGGGATATTGATCTGTTTTAGCCTTAGTGATGTGTCCTCACTCGTGTCTTTGGTATTGCTTTGCAGCCTTGATATACGGTGATTCAGTTAGAAGCACAAGTGGTATGGCTAAGATTCGTGGTTACATGGGAGTGTGTCCACAGGTACTTCACAAAATATTACAACATTTGCGAAGTTGGATTCCAATGTGTTGAATTTGGATTCCAATCCAGCTGTCACGTTAACATGTGTTGGAATGTACAGGAATAATGGTGCCATACATTAACTCCCGATATAAAAATGCTGAATGTTTGTGCAGTTCGATATTCTGTGGGAAGCACTATCAGGACGTGAGCACTTGCACCTTTTTGGTAGCATCAAGGGTTTACGACCGGCTGATATCACCTCGGTAAGTTCCGAATCTGCTGCAGCATCATGTCTACCCACATTCCTGCACAACATTCGTCAAAATCGAAAGACTCCACCGGAGCAACAAAGCGAACAAAATCGACAGTTTTAATATTGAGGGATTTCTGTATTACAGGGTACCGAACAACTTCTGGCCCAAGTGAAGCTTTTGGAGGCAGCTAAAGTTCGTTCGGGAAGTTACAGTGGGGGTATGAAGCGGAGACTTAGCGTGGCCATAGCCCTTATTGGGGATCCAAAAATTGTGTTTCTTGATGAACCGGTAAGAAGCATTGACCAAGACAGGTTTTGCTTGAGTCCTGGAAAACGGTAGTACCCCTCAATTCTAGCAACTGGTATACGTCCAGGTTAAACGGAGTTGTGTGCCGCGATTTTTCAATTATCCACGAGCATGAGTATATTACAGTTCAGGAATGGTGGAAAGTAGGATGCAGAACAGTTACCTTGTGCATTCTCTGGCTTCTTGTAAAGCCTCTAAACAATCTGACAGATTTTCCGATGAGCTTCTTGCTGCCATACTTGTTTTGATGACTTTGGAACATACTGCTTGACTGCAGACCACTGGTATGGATCCGGTAACGCGGAGACATGTTTGGGATATTATAGAATCTTCGAAGAAAGGGCGTGCTATTGTGTTGACCACTCATTCTATGGAAGAAGCAGACATATTGGGCGATCGAATAGCAATTATGGCTCGGGGAAGACTCAGATGTATAGGAACCTCTATTCACCTTAAAACTCGTTTTGGAGCTGGCTATATCGTCAATGTAAGTGTTCGCAAGGAATCGGTTGGCAACAGCCCCATTATGCCAGCCTCATCTCCGAGAGGTGAAGAGCTGCGCCGAGACGAAGTCAAGCAGTTCTTCAAGGACGTGAGTATTTGATACCAAGAGCAGTGCATGAGTGAGTTCTTATTAACAAGAATTTGAAGAACTTGCCAAAACAAAGCTTAATTTGGAGTTGTGATGGAACTCTTTCGTTGTCTTAACAGCAATTAGGTGTGGAATTCAAGGACGAGACGAGAGCCTACATCACCTTCGTAATTCCACGTGAGAAGGACAGGGAACTAACGGTGCGAATTCTACTCATATTCTTCACCTGCGAAAGTGAATCGATATTTGAACTTGAGTCCTAGGGGAAACGAAGAGGTTGATGGGGACAAGCTCGAAGGAAATAGCTGGCTGCTTCTTATTGCTCTTTCATCACTTAGCTACCCAAGGATTTGTTTTTACCTTTCTCAAGAGGATTTTAACAGTGTTATAGGAAGGTCATATTCCACATATTCTGTGGAATTGGCAAGACTTCTATACGCATGCCCCTGAATTTTCCCTGGTTTCCTAACTTTGAAACGTTCCATCTATCCAGGACTTTTTCAATCTGCTTGAGGAGGAGAAGGAAAGGCTGCATATCTCAGACGTCCAAATCAGTCTCACCACCCTAGAAGAAGTCTTTCTTAATATCTCGAAGAAAGCCGAGCTCGAGAGTGCAGCTGCAGATGGGCGCTTTGACGTGTTGACTTTGACTTCTGGTCCGGCTATTGGCATGTGCATAAATGTAAGCTTTGCATTCTCTTATTTCTTCGTCCTCAAAATTGTTGCACTTCGCCTAAGTTTCAATGAGAAGTGTTCCACACGGTTATGAATAATGCCCGAGGAACCGTACGTTAGAACGATAAATAATGGCGCTGAAGTTAGGACTGTCAATTGCAGGTCCCTGTAGGTGCTCCGTTCGTCGCGGTTCCAGGCACAGAATCATCTGAGACACCGAACGGCATGATGGTGGAAATATATTGGCAACAAGACGATACGGGCTCTCTTTGCATCGCCGGACACTCGGATTTAATGCCGTCACCGGCACCTTCGGCAGCCCGTCCAGCTCGGCGGAGCGGATCTCAACGTCGTTCTTTTGGGCCTGTCGGGTCGTTCGGGCGCTCTAGTAGGATTATGGAGGCAGAAGTTATACAAATGTCGAATATCGATGGCAACCGACCGGGTTCAAGGCGAATGTCCATGAGTTGAGCAGGTAGAGTACTTTCGGCGATAACCTCTCGAATCCGGTGACAGTTGTGGAGTGTACTCCTGTTTTTGCCCAATGACAGATTGTCCTGGAGTGTGTTGTGGTTCAATTTCGCCGTTTACCTCATTATTGAACCGAATGTGCTTGTGGCTGCAGGCGGTTAGACGTATGAACTTTCAACGTTCTTGTCAACTGAGAGGGTGAACTAGATGGCACACAAAGGGGGAATTCTAGAGCTCTTGATCTTCTTCTTTTTAACAGTTTCTTTGCAGGGCGATGCAACACCCGGTTGGCAACAGACATCCCGTTCTCTCCTGTACTTTTTATATGAGATAAGAACATTAGAATTATCACTTGCACGATACGGTCTTGGAAGCAGGGAATTCCAAGTGATATTTTCTCGCGCTTACCCGGCCGAGTTTTGCCAGTAGCTTTGAGTGAACTCCATTATTTTACCCCGGGAGTACACATAGTTTGGCCGAGATCATTGTTGTGGAGGTCCGCCTCAAGTGTCTTCTGCGAGGTAGCATGTACAGCCCACCATATTCATGTAGGGACATCAAATTCAATTCTTTAGGCCGACGAGCCTCCTCATATGGGCAACAAATGTATCAAAGTCCTGCTCCGTTAAGACCTTTAATGGGATCGTGATACGAGCCCTTCAGTTATCGATTCGAGTGTTTATCATGTATCAAAAGTTTAGTTTTCAGCCGGTTCAATTTTGGCTTGCTTTGTATGTACAGGTCTTCTATCCGTTTGCTGGTGACACTGATGGATGCTACGCCGGCTAATTGTTAACCTATGATACTAACCTGTTTATCTCTTTTCTGGTAGTTGTCGGTAAGACGATGAAATGGAGTAAAGAGTAACCTCATTAATTTATAATTTACTCTTGACATTGCTTAATTGTAATTCAGAACCACTCATCAACCTTCACTTCGAGATTTTTACATGGAAACGACTGTTGGGCAACGTAAGCATTAGGACTCGTAAACACATTGTGTCCATCTTCAGACGAAAGTGTTTCTGCCAGCATGGCAAGAAGGGAAGTCCTTGGACATGAATCACCATCCCGCTATTGGGATGCGCGGTTGTATAGAGCGCAGAAGACCTTTTAAACCATCGTATTTAAGTTCGCATCGTAACATTCATACTGTCAAGAATAACATGTGGAGGTTTATGATGAGAATTAATGGTGGCTGATGACAAGTATCCGTTCTCACAGACAGTATTCCAGACAAAGCTCCCCTTCATCATACTTGTATTCGCTGACATCCCATCACTCTGTGCTGACGTCAACACACAGATGCCACAAACCTCATCACCCAAATCCCCTCAGGCTTACATCTTAACACTCTGTGCTGTTGTCAACAGACGGATGTCGACGAAATGTGCGAACTCTCGACACACAAAAAAGGCATGAGTGTATTGAATCTGCGCTCTGATTAGCGGATGCTTTCAGTTTTAACCCCTTGTGCAAAGGGGAAAGCATGAAGGCACGTACTCCGCGCCTTCCCTTTACATTTGGTCCCAGCGCTGTCCGTAAAGTACTTAGCAGCGCTGGTCTTACACTCTGCAACACACTGCGGGCTCGGACATTGATGGAGAGCTTCGGAGAAGCATTGATTGTGTTAGAGTAAGAAAGTTTCCTTCGAGACAAGCCCTCGTGTTTCTTGTGAACGTTCGCGCAGATGCCGTGAGCTATGGGACGTGCTCAGGTCGAAATGTCTCTTGGCACAGAGGGCCTTGTCTGGTCATCTGGTCTCCTTCAAGGCTACGTTCCTCCCCTCACCCATTCACTCTAGCACTCTCCTTTACCGTTTCTGTGTGACCTCTTCGCGAAGAGCTGGTCCTAGTCCAGTACCCATAAATCCGTCCTCTTGATCTCGCCAGTTTCGCGAAACCCCTTTTGACGAGGACTTCTTTTAAGAAAACGCGGGGTTTTATCACGATGTGTCACGCTGAACTTTAACCTTCGTCCATGTTCCTTGTCATGCTAAACGTGCACTCCTCTGTCTGAAAGTTGGACTCATTCGACCTTCTGTCATACACCTCGCACTGGATTTCATGTATCACCAGGTCTGAGGATTCAGGCTTCATACATCAGTTCCTCACTCTATACCTCCATAAATTGTGCCAAAGAACTGCCTTCCTCCATCCTACCCGTTCAATTCTGTGAATTTCTGTCTAGTGTCCACGCTGGGCTTGGATTCTTGAACGACATCAAGAATGCTGGAGTTGGCCCGACAGCAGCACCTCACCTAAGGGCTTTCTCTTGGGGACACACACAAGCTTTTGGAGTCTAGACTACGAGGGCTGCTGAGCCACCACAAGATACCGTTCAAGGAACCGTTCGTCCATGGGTCAAATGCTTTTACCAGCTCGGTTGGAAAACAGCTGGAGCTATGAAAATAAGAAGAGCTTCATTTCATTCTCCTGCTTTTAGCCTTTGCTTATTAGGAAAGGGTTATTCTCTCCTCTAAAGAATTGGAACGTGAATATACATACGACACCCTCAGGTAATCACTCAAGACGGAAACCGAAGCAATTGAAGTCAGACTAATGTGAGATAATAATTCATTCCTCCAACATCCTCACCCTGATAAAAATATTTTTAACTGCTTAGGATTACAGATCAATGATCTGTAATCCGAGATTCGCATTACAATCACCTGCTCTTCGCGGAGAGAATCAAGAAGGTCCACTATTGGTCATGCTCAAAGATTGATTGGACTTTTGGGGTATGTACTGTACATGGCGGACGAGTTTACTATGATCAAGAGTTGCATACCTAATATTTCACAACAAAAAGAAAGTCAAAAAAATTGAGATTATTCATTTATTTAATTGTGCTACTGCAAGAACTTGGAGTTGAGAAGAAGAGGTCGCACCATAATTTAAAAATCGCATGGGTATAATCCGGAATTCATGCAAGTATGAAAACGAATGGTTTTTTATGGGGCTAGGACCCAGTAGCATCACATTTAAAAAGATGTCTCACTATATATATATATATATATATATATATATGAGCATTGTTTTGAAACAAACAAAAACGTAGCATCCCTAAGGTGGTATAGGAGTACGAAGTGAGTCATGATGTCCCTGTTGAAACAAATCGGATATTTTTAGTTTTCTCATTTGTGAATGAAGTATAAGAACTGTGCAAGTTTACTGATATCGAGATTTTTCAAAGCAGTCCTAGATTCGATGCAAGCTCCATGAGCTTGGAATCCATTTTCTATTTTTTGTAAGATCAGGCAAAGAGTGTTCAGATCTGGGTAAGGTACAATATTTAAAGCGAAGAGGGATATGTGTAGCATGAAGGGAGAAAATATATGCATGAAAGCTATGTATGAGGCAACTACAGTATAGGGGGTTTACAAGAAGTGATTAAGAGTCCGGTTCTAATGATTGGACTGGCCGCATCCCGAAAAATTCCTGCTCATACAATTCATGCTGGATGGGAAAAAGAATGCTGGAAGCAAACATAAAGCATCCAAAAGAGTGGAGGAGGAATGGAATTATGAGCATAATTCCATCATTGGCTGTGGTATGAAGTCCAGGAGAGTGAATGACTGACTGTACGCGCAGTGCCAATGAAGAAGAAGAGCTCTACCGTACAGAGTCAAATGACAAAAAGGGTGGAAACCTCCATGGTGTACGAGGTGATGGCCCCAAACCCAAACGGGTAACACGGCCTAGGCCCCAAGAAGTTGAAGACATAAAGAAGACGGAGTCCTCACACAACGGAATGTTTGCCCCAAACTCCCTCCTCCTCCTCCTCCTCGTCGTCCCCGGCGAAGGAAAGGAGATGCCGACAGAAGGCGGAAGGAAGGAAGGAATGAATGCGAATCGCGAAGATGCCCTTCTCCCCTCTAATCCCGTCTGCCCGCTGCCGCTGGTAGGTCCCCCCGACCCCTCCGTCGCTCCCTCCGTCGTCGCCGTCCCTTCTCCAGCGGGGGCGCGGGAGGAGCGAAAGGAAGGAAGGCGAGGACTGGACGGGCCGCGCCGAGAGGCGAGTACGGCAGGAGCCGGGGCGGGGCTGGGCGGGTTATAGTGGAGACCCGGGATCCGCTCGTTTGTCCGAGGCCAGCTAAAACGAGCAGGCCCGGGCCCGGCAATGTGGAGGTGGCAAACCAGGCGAGGAGAGAGAGAGAGAGAGAGAGAGAGAGAGGAGAAAAGGGGCCGCCAGAATCGACGCGGAGAGGAGGAAATGGAGGAGGAGGAGGAGAATTGCGGGCAATAATGGAGGGGAAGGGGAAGGGAAGGGAAGGGTGAGGCTGCGGAGCACGGACGACGAAGAGAGGGAGAGAGCTGGGCGCGGCGACATGTCGTGAGTGTGTCCGGGTTCGTCTTGCCTGTGAGTCGCCGGTGCCCCACCCACGCCGGCCTTCTTCCTGGTCCCTGAGTGGAGAAAAGAGTGGAGCAGAGGGGAGAGAAGACAGGAAAGGAAAGGGAAGGGAGGGCGGAGTGGAGTGGAGTGGCGTTGAGTCGAGTCGAATTGAATTGAATTGAAACGAGAGAAGACCCAACACTGTCCTTGTTCTTCCATTTCCTCGTCCTCCATCTCTGTCTATTGTCTGGCTGGCTGGCTTGTCTGCTCTGCTCTGCACGGCTGAGCTCTGTTGCATCGAGCGCAAAGAGGACTGGTCACTGAAGTGGCGGTATTAGCTTCTGTTCTTTCCTTCCACCGCCTCTGCTGCTCCTGATCACTCCTTTTTATTCTTCTCTTTGCCTTCTCCTCCTCCTCCTAGACCTTGCCCCTACCACCGCCATCATCAGCCCCACCCGTCCTCCATCGTCGCCCGCGTCGAACAGTCGTCGGTCACCTATTTTTGATTGATTGATCGATTCGCGTTCGCTCCACCGCGAAGAAGCGCAACAGTAAGATCTATCGATCTGCACAGGTGTCGTCGATTTTAGTTTGTGTTCCTAATTATCGTGCTCTGTGTAGTGAGGATTCTTCTAGAGCTCTAGACGGAGTTTCTTCAGGTGGAGCGGATTAGAGGACAGTGATAAGTGGTGTTTGCAATTAGAGCGAGGAACTGGGCTCGATCTGGTACTCTGTTTCTTTGTTTGTGATTTGGAGTACGGATGTACACGGGACGAAGACCAGCAAAGAAGTGATCTGTTCATCTCGATAGCCTTTAGTGCAGAGTACAGGAAGGAGTTATCTGGGAAGAAAAAACGATGAGCAAGCCACTATTTATGCTGAAAAGGTTACGTCATATACAGGCTGTGGCATGCGCCGGTACTTGAGGACCAGCAGCTTTGCGGCATTGCGGATCAAATGGCAGGGAGACCCGCTGTGGAATCAAATCTCGCCGCCTGAAATCAACCTCCCACAATTGGGTAGGCTTTCCTGTATGATGCTATAACCCGCTACTACTCTGCTCCTTCACCTTTTAGTGAATTTTCGTGGCCGGGGTGATTTGGCTGTCTGGGATGCGTATTTGGCTGATCCTGGGCTAGTTTGCTCGTTGGTTTTACCACATCCATACCGAGTTCCAGGAGTCGTTTTCCATCTCTGTTGTTCTTCCCGCCTATATATTATGTATCCTGATGCTGATCTTCATTCATGCTCTCTGGAATTTCGCTATCAATCCTTGACTATTCTGAACCCAGTCCCGACAGAGAAAACGACCCGGGCGAATGCTGTTTTTTTAAAACACTCGCCCCTCTCCCTTTTTTTGAAGAAAGGCTTAATCAGTAGTAAGATCTTGGTGTTTCACTCGCTCTCTGTCACAGTCTAACAACTGGTGCTGAGTGAAAGCACTGTTGTCAGGCTTAGAGGCCCAAGATCCTGTTAAGGAGGCTGAATTCCAAGTGGCCATGTCTCCGATGTGAATGATTTAGGGGCCTGCTTTTAAGTGGACCTTGTAGATCTCTGCATAGACAAGTGATTAATCTCAAGAAGGTCTCTGTAACGAGCATAGCTTTGCAAGCTGGCACATTTCTTGCTTTTTTGTTCACAACTTCGTCGGGGAGGAGCGTTATTAATTCGAAACAGGGCAATTTGTATTGAATATAGATATTCTTTTGGTTGGATGGCCAGAGTACTGCAAGTGCGGATAGCTGGAAAAATGGGAGCCATGAACGGAGTCGTGGAATGTAAAAATTGCGGATCCAAGACTTTGGGATCACCTTCCGTACGGCCTGTATCTCTCGCATACGACCGCCACCATAGCAACCCTGCCTCTCGTTTTCGCGCTCTCAATGTTCTGCTGGTGGTTGGAGATTGCACCTTAATCGGCCTACAGGTAATTTGACCAACTTCAGAAGGAAAGGGCATAGATCTCTACGTATCAAGACTTGCAATGTGATCGGTGATATACTTGAGCAGACATATCTGACACTTAAACCTGCCAATTTGCTTGATCGTATAAACACGATGATGGAGTATTTCTCGTCTCGATACTCGGTGTTGTAGCTGACGGGATCGGACAAAGCATTATATTCTGATATGCGTGACGGAGATTGCTTAATATGTTTCAATTATTCGGTGATTTCGTTGTTTACCTTGAACTGGACATAACAAGAAAGATTCGCTCTGTTTCGTGCCTTGTTGTGATTTGAGTCCCGGGTAGAAAATGGAATGAATTCTGCTAAATGCGATCTGAACCTGGTCATAGAAAACACAGAATCCTGTCTTTCACCGCAATGCAAATATCAACGTCGTATGACATTGTGTCCCCCAGTACTTGCTCAGTTCGAAGAGGGCGTTTTCTTCTATTTTCACCTGCAAATAAGTTGATCCTAGTTCTAATAATTAGCCTTCAATGTTTTAATTGACAATCCGTCGAAAGTACTGATTAAGGGTTCCATGTTCCTTGCAGCCGATTTTGGTGTATATGTCTAAAGTTGATGGAAAATTTCTATTCAATCCAGTGAGCGTGAACTTTCTTACAGAGCTTGCTAAAGTTGCGTTCGCAATGTGCATGCTGCTCTTTGCGGTGCGTTTCTCTTGCCTTTGCACGTGAGCCCCTGAATGAAAGATAGAGAACTCTTCTTAGTGGACGAAATCGCAGGCGGTTACGCCAATATTTGAAACTTTCATAGTCAATATTCTAACGCCTGGATTGATATGGAGGTTTCAATGATACATCTTTTAATTTGGATTCCTATTCGTGAATTATTGTAGAAAAATTTTACGTCTCCTATCTTTCAAAAGGATACGTACTTTTCTCTTCCTCAATGATGACCTGCCCCACTACTTAGTTCAATAGCTTCAGGGTCAAGCAGGAGTTACGGTGAATCACGTGGATGTGTGTGTCTGTGTAGGTACGGAAGCAACATCCAGGAGAGAAGTCATTACTTTCGCCGGTGGTGATTTTACAGGTCTGTCTGATCTTTGTAATCGCTACTCCTGAATATTTTTGGTCACGTTTTTTGGTCTTTTCTTCTGATTCTTTCGAAGACATCCTATGAAACAGATATTAGGTTTCCTGTTGTCTACTTTCCAGATTTATATCGATGAAGAAAAATGCTGGGATTGCGTTGTGTTTGTGATGGTAATGGCATCTTCTTGAAGTGCAGGCTGCACGTTCGAATTATCTTCTCGCTGTGCCAGCGTTTCTGTATGCCATAAACAACTATCTTAAGTTCATTATGCAGGTACAGTATCTTACATTATAATGTTTGGGTTTTTCTTCTTCAGCTGTACATTTTACATCAAAATCTCTTCGCGAGTTTGATCCAGAATGTTGACCTCGATCGGTTGTAGAGCATATGATGTAGAGCAAAGATGCCTGGATGCTTCCCACTTTTCCAGAGTCAAGTTTGACAATGTAAGGAGGCATTATCGTAACAATAAACCTTCATTTGAGAAATGGATTTGCTTTAGGAGATAAGCTGCTATTAGAAAACCAGCTATGGGTAAGATTGAAGAACGGTCCCGTAAAGTTTTCTGAAGTGTGCCCATTAATGTTTGTTTTTGTGTACAGCTATATTTCAATCCTGCGACTGTGAAAATGCTCAGCAATCTGAAGGTATACTTGCTTTTTATTTGTAATCTACACAACTGCCTAGATAGACTGCAACGTTGTTTACTTCACTACACGTGTCACAGGCCATCGGATTGAGCGGCGTACTTTGAGTTACAAGCAAGTCTTAATATATGTCAGAGGGGCATCGTCATAAGTATAACTCCACTTTCAATGGCAAGTCCGGGAGATGGAAACCAACTTTGTTTGCTTGCTGTTGCCTTATGGATTACGTCTACCTTTTCTCAAGTTTATATGAGTTGATTGCAGTACATTTCATGTTCTTGCACGTGCAAGCTGAATTTAGAAAACTCGCTCAAAGTACAGATGCGACGAAGGTCCAGTGACGAGCTAGAATTATAAGAACGTTTTGACGTTGAAGGTTGAACAGAGTTAATACAAGTGTTTGGTAAACTACAACGATCTTCTATTTTGCAAGAACAGACCTACCCTACTTGTCGTGAACATCATGTACTCAGACGAGGCAAGAGGGAACACGCCCGAACATTGTATCGCGTTCAAATTACTAAGGTTAGCTAATTACTGGCAGGTGCTTATGATAGCTCTGCTGCTACGAGTTGTAATGAAGAGGCGTTTCACCATTATGCAGGTAATACAAGTTTTTATGTCGACAGAGCAAGCTTCTTCCAGCTCGTACTGTAGGACATATGAAGCTATTTTCTATGCTTACTCTTATTAAAGGAATGTAGATAGTTCACTGGAGGGATCTGTGGCGAGGAGCTTTTGGATGGCTTGTGATAGAGTAGTTTATTGTCTAGAAGTTAATATGCAAGAGGTTATTAATGGACAGGAAGGGAGATGCGCTGGGGTCCTTCGGAGCCCAAGCATGTCGTCACTACTCCTAGTACTTTAGCTGTAGTGCTTGTATCTACAAAAAGGTTTTACTAAAATATTGGTGGAAGGAGAGCTACGTGTCTATCAAGTTCTTTGTTTGTTTTTCCTTCTGTATATATATGTCTCTTAACCCATGTACAGAACATGCTCTACCTTGCCATCAAGAGAACTCACAAATAGTTGCTTATATATGCTGCCTGTGCAGTGGGAAGCGCTGGGACTACTGCTGATTGGGATCAGTGTGAATCAACTGCACACTACACCCACTGGGACAACTGTGATAGCCCCTCTCGCATCAATTGCTTACATTTACACTTTGATATTTGTGAGTTACCCGTTAAATGGAAAAGCTTGGTCATTGAAGTATGGAATCTATAAGCGTTAAAAGCAACTATCACCAAGAGATCGTGTACTTCATGGTCGGGATTAGCCGATGTAAGCAGTCCGTGTCACTTGACAGGGTCTTGCTAACTGGACTGTAGATCGTTTTTGATAAAATCATGACGTTTTTTCAGATGCTGATAATACCTTTGAAGCTTGTTACATGTAGTAGCGCGTACTGTCTCGTGAGGATTGTACATGCCGTGCACAATACGTCGTAAGTATCTTGAGGTTAACAGCCCTTTATATAGAAGACTCTGATAATCTCTTTCTCATTTGCTGTCTTCAGGTTACAGTACCGTCGTTGGCGTCTGTGTATAATGAGTATGCTTTGAAAAGCCAGTTTGACACCAGCGTCCACCTCCAGGTAAATTTCAAGAATGACCTGGTTTTACTTTTTCTCTCATCACAATCATAAGTTGTTTTTGCTCGGTTATCAGATCTAGGTGTGTTGCCGGAAAGTATCTCTGAGAGTTGACAATAGAGCTTTAAAAATTGACGGCTCTTCGTTCTGCTTTCCAGAATTTGTTTCTATATGGATATGGAGCATTTTTCAACCTTTGTGGCATCGTCTTCATGATCGTCTACAATGGTCAGTGAAGTACTCCGTTGTATTTCTTGTCGATCTTGTCATGGAAATTTTTTACGAAGGAGAAAAAGCTTACAGAGCTGTGGTTTCCTGTCTCAGATTTTTAAATGTAGGGAGAGGGCATTTAAACTGATCTGTTGTCTTGTCAATCCCCACCGAGGAGGAAGGCGTCAATTGCTGAGGAGTGGAACCATCGATCTTAGTCTCCTGTGGGGAATGATTATTCACACGAAAATTCGAAAGCACAAGATGACATATTTGTTTCTTTAAATCTACTACACCCTCCTCTTAGAGTGTTAATTGTCTCGGACAAGTCTAGACTTACGTATATGCATAATAACAAAACCTCTGTCTTGGATCATTTCCCAGGATCCAGTAGTTTCAACTTGTTGGAGGGCCATTCCAGAGCAACGATGCTTCTGATTGTCAACAATGCTGCTCAGGGCATATTATCTTCCTTTTTTTTCAAATACGCTGGTGAGTGTTTTGGGTTGAAAGTGCGCAAGAGTTTGTACTTTCGTTTTTCGGTATATTAGATGACATCAGGGTATTCTTGATGTCACTGTCGCTAGAACTGGCTTAAGGTATTGCTACTTGGGTAATCTATATGCCGTTTGGTCCAATAGCTAGATATGCTGTACGTCTATTTAAAAAATTGGTCAAGGGAAATTGGGGGTGAAGAAAGCATGAAATCTTTGTAGACTTGAGGTTGTATCTTTTGGAACTACTACACTGGAGAAGGAACTTCTGCAATAGCTTGAGAAGGTTTAGACTATAGATTCACTTTCAGAATACTTGCCGTTTGTCATTGAGGGTGTGTGTTTCGTGCAAAGAGCGTAGTCCCACTCTTAGCTTTCAACAGTATACTAAAGATATTCAGGAGCTCTTTCTTGACGAGTTATGAAGTGCGGGTGGTTCTCACATTTAAGACTGTACTTGCGGAACTAAAGACCATATGCTTCTTGACAATTCCAGACACAATTTTGAAGAAATATTCGTCCACGGTCGCCACAATATTTACCGGTCTTGCATCAGCTGCTCTTTTCGGACACACTCTGACAATCAATTTTATCTTGGGCGTCTCCATAGTTTTCATCTCCATGCACCAGGTATATGATCTTGGTTGTGCTCTGTTCTTTTCAAACTTTCTAGATAATGGTACCCACAAAAGTCATGAATGAGATCTGAGGGCTTTTCAGGCTCCAGTGCGTTTGGAACCTTTTAACAAATTATATGGGATGTCAGAGCACCTCCATGCTTCCGAGAGGCCTGGATCTTACCTACTGTTATCAAAGCTTCAGCCAAAGTTGAACCCGGAGTCAACGATAATTGCCTTGTTTCTGCGTTATAGGTGTTATGTAGACTCTACAATCACCCCAACGGACACATAGTGTCCAGCATCTATCCAGTGGTTGATATGAAAGAGTCAAGATCGGCCAGGTCTGCGTGTGCACATTCTAAAGGCGAAAATGGGAAGACGTGCTCGGGCTGACCTTGCACTCCAATTTGTATTTGTCCTGTGTTTTTAGTTCTTTTCTTCCCTTCCGAAGAGTAAGGAGGGTCACCATCAGAATGAGGAAGATGGAGCCGAATTCAATGCGAAGAAATTGAGGTAAGATATCAGGGAAAATTCGAATTTAGTTCTGGTCTGCTTGGCACGTCCCGTACCAGTTAACTCTGTAGAACGAAAGGTGTTGAAAATGTTTATCTCTCGTGTCAACTTTCACAGAATTTGGAGAATATGTTGGAAGAGTTGAAAACCACAAGTAACTTCTCAATATATAAATTAACCCTTCATTCCGATAGTGAAGGGATCCGTTAGACTTGACGCAGTTGGTTATTGTATTCAGGTTTACTATCAGTTTTCTTGTCGTAAAGCAATCTTGCAGAATATGAACCTGCCCCGGGTGCTGCTTTGTGTTCAAGGTTCTAGAAGGCTATGAAATTGCTCATGTAATATTGTGATGCTGGTTTTCCAGGTCCAAGGAGTCATCTTTTGTCAATATGACTGCTGGAGCTACGGAAGAGGTACGGTCACTGTAAGCGCGAGATTGAGTATTTCTTTTTTAGGTGCAAAACTAGACACCGTTGTTTGATGTATATATATTAAGTTGCTCTTCATGTCTTTAGTAGGATGACTTATTTCGATTTCCTTTCTCCTCAACCTGAATTTCGGTCTTGACGAGTGAATGTATTGGCTATGCATATCTCACTCTGTACAACGCTTGTTGCATGCAGGCAAGCCATAAAATTGGAATACTGAGCGAGAGAGAACCTCTTCTTCCCACTTGAGGCTCTAATTTTGAGGTAGTTTCCTACTTGCAGATTTATTCTGTTCATTCATTTGTAAAAGTACCAACAGCCCCACATGGGGCATTCCATTGATCTTTCACCCAAGCGATATATTTTGCCTACCCTTCTACTATAGTCAAGATGCTGTCGGAAACAGAAACAGCGGAGTCTTTAGTTGGGGCTGTTTGAGATTTAGATGGCTTGTCTTCAACACATCAGCTCATAATACAAAGATGGACATTTGTACGTAGAAAGAGAAAGTCACTCTTAGGGATACCTGTATTAGCTGCAGGTCTAGGACAGAGAGACTTATGTGCAGGTGTGGGGTTTCAAAATCAACGAGACCCGATGCATTTTTCGTCACCGTGTTTTTGTTTGGAACTCTTTCGTTTGCGTTCGATTGAGTTGGGCGATATGGATTGCTTTTGTACCTGACTTGATTTACTTTTCACCCCTGGAAGGGCTCATAATGTGGTTCGGAAGGCGCAATCAGGTAACATGATTTTTATCATGTGAGTGGATGCATTCTTGGAGGTTACATAAGGCGGGAACACAAGTCTGTAGCTATGTAGAGAAAATAGGTCAATTGCAGTACTGGAGAAGCCTCTGAGATGGCGGACAAGAACTTGGGACTCACTCATGCGGTGCTCCAAAGAAACAGAATTGTATGCCAGAAAGTCATGGGTAAGGCTCTGGCTTTACCCGAATTTTTACAAAATCGTTACCACAGGGTACACCGCTAAGAGAATGAAATCTCGAGGCAGTGATATCATGAAGTCCACGTGCACCACCTTGTGGCGAATTAGATATAACTAGTATATCAGCATTCTTTAATCATGGAATGGTTACAATCAGAAGTCTGGGTACGTCTGTAAATAGAATTGGTGCCCCATAGACAGGAACGTTCGTCACCTGTGCCATTTAGTACGCATTAGTCGTTGGAGTGTCATACAACGAGAGTTCAGGCAATCCCATGTCTGAAGCAGGAAGTTTTGAACAGGTCTTCACATTATTTTCGGATAGAAGTGCCGTTCCCTACATTAGAGCCATTGGCTTCTACCGTACCTATTGGAGGGCTTTCGATGATGATGGATCATCACGTAGTATGTCATAGAGACGAAGATACGGTACAATTATCATAGTGACAGTGGCAGAAGGTACATGGAATTACAGAGGAAAGAGAACTGGAATTGCTATTTCTGGTGAGGTCCAGATATTCTGATGGTGAGAGCATCAGTATTCCTAGCCAGACGCTCGTTACGTTGTCAACTACACGAAATGAAAAGTCGATATCGAGCTTTGCGTATCAAACTGAGTTCTATGACCTTGTATATTTTGGTAAGATGTTCTGTCGAATGGTGTTCAGCAGTGACTTTAGCCGAAATCCAAATGTTCCACTACCACTAGTTTGAGAACATGCCCCGCCCCGAAGATCCTAAATCTGGTGGTAACCAGATTAAACTTGAAATGGGCCTTTGCCTCACGAGCAAAAGGATAAACGTAAAGTACACCTCCAAATATCTCGCTTCCGGATAGCACACGAATTTGACTTCACACTTATAGCTGGAAGATGATCCCTAGGTCAAGCCTTAGAATCTCACGATTAGCCAGCCTGAAGTGCTTACCTTTGGACCAGAGTACTGCATCGGGTACCCATACCCGAAACCCGAACCTAACCCGCCCGAACCGATGGGTATGGGTCGGGTTTGGACCGGTTTGAACGGGGAAGGTCCGGTTCGGTTTCGGGTTGGACTTTTCTTAATGTGATTTAGAAATAGTGTTACTCAGCAAACAGGTCGTGGAGTATTTTTTGAGGGGGTTCGTTTGGGGTTTCGGTTTTGTCTCTTTGGATATGGGTCGGGTATGGGTACCACAAGCGCAAAATACGTGAGCATGGATCGGGTTCGGGTATGTTTTTTAGGTGTGATGCAGTACTCTGCTTTGGACTCCTCTTCCGTCTCGTTTGTAGCTTCATGCAATGAAGCGAGATCATCGTATATGGTCGTTTTCGATCAAAGGGCAGCTGACACAGTCGATCAATGTTAGCAAAGGTTACCAGATCCATTTGTAGTTCACCTTGCTACGATGTACGTAACTCGTCTACTCAATGTACGAAGCTACAGTCTGGTCCTCACTTCTCATAATAACGAAGCGTATGGTCATTTAATTGGTTGAGATCATCAAGACAAGCGAAGTCTACTTGTTTGGCGTTCCACTGAGGATTAAAGGCCAAGGACCACTAAATTGACGAAACGCGGGAGCTCTGGGGCGAACTTTCACACTCGAGTTCTTAAATCGCGCCGTTCCATGACAATTAGGCTTGGCCACGGTCCGGTCCGGACCGACGGTTAACCGGTTAACCGTCGGGACCGGTTAACCGGTCCCAGATTTCTCCGGACCGGTTAACCGGTCCGGGAAAAAAATTTCCTCTGGCAGCAGAATTAGAGCCTCGCTAGTCTAATTCTGCTGCCAGATTAGATTTTTGTATCACCTAATTTGATCACCCAATTCGATAAGTGAATAATCCCTAGCATAAATCTCGAGCTCGGATGTGTTTCTCCAGCGTCCCTGCACCCTGGCGCAAAGTCGAAGTCTCTCCAATTCGAGAGCGTTTTCAACCGGGAGGATTTTCAACAGTCCGAGTGGGGGCTCATTTGAGTCCTCGAGCTATTGCGCATTTGAGTCCTCGAGCTCGAGCGTCCTTCGCTCCCAGCCACAACCCCTCCCGTCGGTCACGTAGGGTCGGGACAGATGGTTAATCGGTTAAAACCTGGGTTAACCGTTAACCGATATGGCAAAATGCCGGACCGGTTAACTTACCGGTTAACCGGTCCGCACATTTCCCGGACCGGTTAACCGTTAACCGGACCGTGGCCAAGCCTAATGACAATGCCCGACAATGAACGAAAGGCCGCTGTCTGTGTGGTTAGACGAGGCTGAACCAATGACGTTGTTAGACGAGGCTGAACCAATGACGTTGTTGTAATCAGCTTTCGTGATTCGAAAACAGAGTAAAGGCGGCTCACCTGAGCTCCCTGACGTCAGCAGCAGGCAACCAAGGTCAGATCTAACTCGGGTGCGATCTTCTCGTGACCGGAAACCGAGAAGACACTGACACGCTGGACTGAGTGCACTGACACGCACGCCTTTGAGGCTCGAGCTTTTCGAACAAGCGAAGGGAGGGAGGAAGGGAGGCTCGGACTTCCGCGTTATACCCTAAACCCCTGAGGCTCAACTCAGGGAAGACAACGATTTCGGACGCCAGAAACCTCCGCTCTGCTGTCCGAGCTTTGCACTGAATCGGCGAATCTGGTCGAGAAAAGCGCCAAATCAAGCCAAGCCCATGGGAGGTTGGAAGTCTTTGTGTTCTCGTTGGAGGCTACTTCTCCCTTCCTGAGCCCGGGGCGAAGTGAGTCGAGGGCTCGCCAGGCTCGGTTGTAGCGGAGTTTATGGGGATCGTGTAAACCATTTGCTCTTCATCGGAGACGGAAGATGACATGAATTCGAAGTACAATTGATCATTCTGCAGCCTTTTCAGTAGATCACTGCGGGCACCGGAGACGCCGTAGGTAGTGGGAGTGCGTACGCAAGGTCTGATACAAACAGTGCTCGAAGGATTGGTAATCTTCTGGAAGGGGAAAATAGAACAACTTTGAGTGATAGACTTTCACAGGGATTGGCAGTGTATTCGTGACCAAGTGGAACAGGGTAGAACTTTAGGGCACCATGGCGGACACGGTGCATTTCCACCTGGAGCGCATGCTGCCAGAGCTGGACGATTTGGAAAAACGAGGGCTTTTTAACCAGCAGGAGATTAAGGAAATTGTGAAGAAGAGGCGGGACTTCGAATATTTGCTGAAGCGTCCATCTCCGATAAAGCAGGACTTCCTAAACTACGTGGAGTTCGAACAAAATTTAGAGGCGTTGCGTAAGCTGCGCAAGAATGCGCTGGTAAGGGACTTGAAGGCCTCGGAGAAATGGAGGAATTCTCTGAGCGATTACGCGAGTGTCATGCACATTATGCTCATTTACGACAGGGCCTTGACGAAGTTCAAGGGGGATTTGAGCATGTGGTTGCAGTATTTGGAATTTTGCAGGTCCCACGCCCCCAGGAAGATGCAAAAGGTGTTGTTACCATACTCAAGTTGATGACCTCATGTTGCTACCTTTCTGTACCGTACGGCACTCTTGATTCTTGAATGCAGGTGTTCAAATTCAAAGCAGCCCTAGTTACTGCGGATAATTCTGATCTGGAAAGTGGACAATGGAGAGGAACTTGAAGGCTAGTCTGCTTTCAATTGACGGTAGTGTTTCTTGTGTAGATAGTTGAAGGCCACTCAGCTCAGAGATTGTGCGGATTGTGTCTAAAGTGCTCAGATTTCGATTTAACTTAAGTTGTGACGTGAATGTTTGCGCATTGCCTCGCCGAGCTTGTTTTATAGAAATGAGAAGCTGATCATGAAGAGATTTATTACACTTTGTAGGTCACGTCAAGATGTCTGCAACTCCACCCAAACGTTCCAGGCCTGTGGATGTACGCAGCAGCTTGGGAATTTGAGCAAAATCTGAATGTGACTGCGGCTAGAGTGCTCATGCAGAGGGGTCTGCGCATGTGCCCCCGCTCCGAGAAATTGTGGATTGAGTACTTTCGTATGGAACTTACGTACATGCAAAAGCTCAAAGCCAGAAAATCGGTCTTAGGATTGGATACGGAAAATCCTCTGAAGCTAAAACTGACAAAGAGCCAAAATGAGTCCGATATGACAATGAGAGATGTCGAGGAAGTATCCGAGGACGAAGAGTTAAAGTCAGAAGTTGAGAATGAAGGCGATGATGAAGCAGTTTCTCTCGAGGATGAGCTCAGCCTGAAGTTATCACAAGCTATTTTCAAAAATGCTGTAGCAGCTGTGCCTTCAAGTCTGGACTTTCGACAACGCTTTTTGGAGGTCCTTGACAACTTCGAATTTGAGCAGAAAGAAGACCTTGAAGATCAGATATATGCGAGTATCGCTCTGGACTTTCCGCGGAACGAAGACAGCTGGGATTGGTTGGCAAGGAGGTATATAGTGGGCCAAAAAGTAGGCTACCACTACAGCTTGATGGAGGGAAAGAGAAGGGCCCTTGAGGTATATCGAACCCTGGAATATCACACGCTGATTTGACTCAAAATTTTCCTTGAAGACCGATTCGCAAAAAATTTCTAACTTGAGCTTCTACGCCTCGTTGATTTACAGGACTTTTTCTTTTTATTAATCTATTCTGCTTCTTGTATCAGTGAATGTAGGTTTTGTCTCTTCTGAGGACCTCTCATGTCGAGTATTACATCTTGGAGATAACTGGGTCATAGTATTGAAATTTCTACTATGGTTGGAAAGCTGACACTAAATTATTTGGATTGTTTTCCCAGTTGTATGAAGATGGGCTGCAAGCGATCCCCTCGGCACACATGTTCGAACTGTATGCAAGATTTTTACTGGACATTTTAGACATGGACAGCACAGATCTCGATAGTAGCACTAGTCCAGATTCTTCAGTAAAAAATAAGACTAATAGGCACGACATTGCGGATGAGCTGATCGAACTGTACAACAGAGCACTGGTTGCAGGTTTTGTGAGTGAGGCATTGGTAAAGGGACATCTTGAAATTCTTCTGAGAAGTGGTATGGTGGATGAAGCAGCCGAATTAGGTAGAAATTTTTGCGAGCGCTTAGACACAAAGAAATTCGCTAGCGTGTGGGAGTGGCGAATATCATTAGAATTGGGCCAAATATCATTATCCTTTTCGAATGTGGATAGTATGCTGGCCATTTCAAAGCTTTTCCAGCAAGCGTTGACTTGTGTCCCCCTATCTGATGCTAGGCGACTATATTTGATGGTGAGTCAATTGAAGCTCCCTCCTTCTCAAGTCACAAGCCAGAAGATATTTTACAAAATATCAGGAGTTGTATTTCTCGAAAGCTTGGCCCTATGTGGTTTCAAAATAATAACTGAATTCAACCTTTTTTCCTGGGCAGGCCATGGAGTTTTATACTGGTCAGGAGAACCACTTTGACGTGGTAATATCACTCCTGGAGTCAGCGATGGCTGGTGGTTCCGGTGGACGGATAGGATCAGGGCTTGCATGCACAATGGTGGATTGGATCCTCCATTCTCAAGGCATCAAGCAAGCTCGACGGGTTTATACACGGTACTTCTTGTTGGTTGCCCTCCTTGAGATAATAATACCTTCCAGTATCAATAGTAGCTGATGGTTTAGAGGGAGTTGTGTGGGACACGAAAGCGCCACAATTTGTATTGTCAAACGCAAGTGATTTTAATGCAAATATTTATTATTTATAATTACTAGTAATACGTTCAATGCTGTCAAACTGCCTTTCAGTTTTACAGCCAGCTATACGTTGATCTTAACAAGAAAGACAGTCATTTGGCTTGATGTCCAAAAATCTACTACAAACTGGGATTTCAAGGTTGTTGTTCATGTTCCGATATCTTGCCGACTTACTTTGACTGTCTTTGGAATTCTTGTGCAGCTTTTTGGCACTTCCAGGTCCAAGCGTAGAACTCTTCAAGCACTGCATTAGTGTTGAGGGACGTTCACTAGGTACATCGGGTGAAACCCAAGAGCTACAAATCATTCGCAAGCTCTTCAATGAGGCCGTAGAGTTGTATGGCGAAAATGACACACAACTCTGGACCATGTATTATGTGGAGGAGATAAAGGTAACTATACATTACCAAACTGGTGTATGGAATGTCTAAATCGGCAAGCATTTACATGAAAAATGATCGAGATTTTGAATTTGGAATATTCGCTGCCTTCCGTTAAGCCTCTGTTTGCAACTCTCTCGTTCTGTACTCCTTGAGATTTGCTGCTTCGAGTTTGTTCCTTCTTCCGTGTTACGATTGAGACTTCTTTTTTACATGACTTGTCTCAGACTGTTGAAGAGGAATCAATGGAAGTCGATTAGTAAGACCGGGAAATTTTTTTCTTACTTATCATCGGAGTCATTTTGGAATGTCTGCAGGCGGGGCAGGTGAACGCGGCGAAGAATGTATATTGGCGAGCAAAGAAAGCACTGAAGGACCCTACGGCTTTTGTAGAAAGACATCAAATGCTATGAATACAAAAAGTTATCTGATTCTTTTCTTGCACTCACGGACTTGTATCCTTGATGTGTGTTGCACTCTGCCTGCCCTGCCCGCTAACCTCGGCAAGGTGGACAGTTTGTGCTCTCTTTGAAAGCGGTAGTTTGTATGCTTGCTTGTCAACCGCACCGAGACTCCCACCTTCTGCTTCACCCCAGGGCATGTACGTACCTCCGTGAGCTTTACGTTTTCTGAACACACATCGGCTCTAGAGCTTTTGAGGAGACACCCCTCCGAGTTTAGATAAAACATTTAAATCGCTCATCATCCGAGAAACGTTACCAATGCTGGACCGTGCATTGCATCAGGCTTAGATCTTGCTACGAGACGCTGGCGAGCTAATGACTCACGAAGAGACGACTGTATGTTTGAAAGAACAAAAACACTGCCATACCTCGTGGGTATGAGGTACTAATTTAGCAAAGTAGACGAGGGATTGCCGATTACATCGTCCAGCCATCTTTCAAATTAGCCGGAGCAAGAGCAAGAAAAGATATGGGTCAGCAGAGACTCAGCAGGATTTAGTTTCACCGGGGGTGATTCGAGTGTGTGCTCTTCCAACCACTCGGACGTCAAATCTCCGAACAAAATGCGAAATATCGTACTCAGCCAGTTGCGGGAGGAACTGTCTCACCATTTAGCGGAAGACGCTGTCGTGGCGACGAAACTGAATCTGCGAGAGATTACTCAAGGAAGTTCAGTAGAATCCACACAGTGTACTCAGATGTTAAAGTGCTCAATCTTCATCAGATTCCATCTAAATTTCGCTTTCTCACTTCCATCCGTGGGGCACAGTCAAAAGTAGAGGGTCTAAGCGCACAAATGCTTTTCGATGTACGAGGCTTTCGGAAACACGCTGAAGGCTGCCTCGCTTGTGCGACTACCGGGAGGGAACAACGACGGACATGCGGTCCATGCGGCCGACGCCGCAAACCTCTGTGGGCAACTTCTCTTCCGACAAGCCTGCGGGCAGCACGCAAGAGATATTGGAGACTGAATACTCGCTCACGAGACTTAACGACAAGAATCGGCTTCCGAAGATTCTGCCGGACCGACGGACGGACTGGCGGGAGGGCGTACGTACTCCCCTACCTCATGCAAACGTACGAGCAGACGAATCGAATTTACGTGTCCAGCTTCGTACACTCCAGACTCGAGTACTTCAGTCCGGCAGTAGTCGTAATGGTAGCGTCGTATACGGTGACCGGCCGGTTCCAATCATAGACAATAAACCAGAGGGACATTACAAAACTCATTCTCCCATCGGCTGGCCTTTAAGGCTTCTTGCACAAGCACGCGGCCTCTACCTTTGGAAGTACCGCTGGATTAGGGACGCAAATAGTGGAGACGCATCTCTGTCGCAGCTTGCGCAAACGGCTCAAAGGCTTAATGAACAATGATCCCTGCTCGATCCGCGAACCGCATCTGCCATCCTGGTGACCGAGAGTGGCAGGTACTTTTTGCAGTCCTCCCGGTAGCCAGTAAGATACGCCCCCATGGGATGGACTCCTGTATTGTACAAGAGAGAGAGCTCCTGTCTCGGACGACCATGGACTTCTCCGCGTGGCGCGATGGCGTGAGCGAGGCACTTCTAATGGCATCGCGTCGTCTGGATCCAATTAAATTGCTTTACCAATGGGAGTACGTGCTGCGCACTCCCATTCATCGAAAATCAAATTACACGAACCACACTTGTTCACCGTGATTAAAAGATGCTGCATTATTCCCACATGGCAATTGTATATTGCAATCGGTCATTGGTTCGTTCGTTTTTCCGTCGTCCTATGCTGATCGATGGAGCCACCATTTCATCTTGAAGACCACGATGTGAACTTGCGAAGGTGTGCGTATCGGGGTAACGTCAAATGCTCATTCACTCGACGACATGAAATTTTGAAGACGACAGAATCGAATTTGTGGGAGTCGGATATCCTCAGCATATTATGGCAATCACTTAATGGATCTGAGCGCGCCAAATGTGGGCATTGTGGAGCTTTACGATCGACAGATCAGTGCACACAGTAACTGTGCGATAGAAAGAAAGCCGCTGGAAGGCGATGGAAGGAAGCCGTCGATAAAAGCTTTGAAAGAGAATATACCAGAAACTTGGGGAGGGAGGGTAAAGGGAGGGGGAGGGCATATGTTTCTTCGGTGCGGCTGCCGGAAGGGCCGGTGGCGGGTGAGGCGGCTCTGGTGCGCGTGACCGAGATTTCGGTTCGGACCCGGTGGTTTGTATATAGGGAGGCGCAGTAAGAGAGGGCGCTACAGGTTGACAATGGACACTTGGGCTCTCGTAGTCGCTCATGGGCCTCCTTCTGCTCCTTGTTCATGTGAAAGCGAGACTCGCCTGCTGCCAACTCCAGTCAGTCCCAGGAAGAGGACCCTCGCCCAGGCACACAGACACAAACTCAGCGAACGAGAGAGCGAGAGGACTTAGGGATTGTGCTGTTGTTCTTCCACCTGGGTACACTCGCTCTCGAGCTCTTTTCTTCGTCGTTTTCTTCCTTCCCTCTCCTCCCTTTTCGCGCTCCCTGCAGAGCTCTGCTTCTCTCCGTATCAGCGACAGGTCGTTTGCTGCCTTCGTCGGGCGTTTTCATGCGTGAGAGAGAGAGAGAGAGGGAGGTGTGGTGGTGGAGGGTGTAAAGTACGTTGAAGTGGAAGAAGGGTTGCTTTCGTAGAAGGAACAGATGCGAGACGAGGCTGTGGCGATTTGATCCATCAGGACTGTGGCGGTCGAGGGAGTGTGTGGGGGCGAGGAAGAGATATGAGGGAAGAGAATCAGTGACCTAACGGGAGGAAAGAATCCCGACAAGGATGCTCATGATCGACTGGAGGTCTGTGCCGTGCGGGTGCCCGTTTGGTTGTGAAGCAGGGCAGACGCTGGTTTTGACCCCGTCGCGGAGTTGTGCTTCTTGATATGCTTTCGAAGGCAAGCCCTTCTGAGTGCGATCACTACGGACGATATTGCCTTACGGAATTCGGGATATTTGGGCCACGTTTTCCCGCGGAGGCCCGAGGCCAAGTCTGTATTATAAGTGAAGGTAGATGGAGGAGTTTTCTTGCTTCTCCTGAATCTTCGAGGCTCAGCATTTCTAGGGCTTTCGCCTAATGATTTCTGTCTCAACCGCTTCTCGACTGGGGAGTTCCATGCAGAAATTAGCTGCTAGGGCCAGGATATTACCTGCAGCTGCCTTCTTAGCTTGAGGAAAGATGGCGGGAATGGAAGTTGATGATGGTCCGACAAAAGTTGGGGGTAAGCGGGGCTTCTCTCGTTCCGGAATTACTGGTAGGGGATGGGTGGGGCAGCAGGTGTGTCGATACTGGCAGGAAGGACGGTGTATCCGAGGAGAAGACTGTCAATGGGTTCACCCGGACGGCGCAGGGCCCACTGGACGTCCTCATGCCAGTAATGGCCTTGCCAATAAGAGACCCAGTAACGTCATTGACAACAGGGTTGATAATCGTTTAGATAATCGTGGAGGTTTTTCTGATGGGGCATCGGGAGGTTTTTCAAGTGGCAGCGGAGCGAGGCGTAATCCTCCTTCTGCTAAATGGGGCCGCCCCCACAGCAAGAACAATCGAGCTGGAGGAAGAACGGCGCCAGATGTTGGAAGGAGACCTCGAGATAAAGTATGCAGTTTCTGGTTGAAGGGCAATTGTCAAAGAGGCGATGAGTGCAACTATCTTCATGCTCATACTGCAAATTCGGACATCAATCTGATCAAGCAATTGGACGGCCATGGAAAGGTGCCCGCCCCTAATTTTAAAGGCCCGTGACATGAACAGGTTTTAGGCCCTCGGAATTCGAACGCAGTCTATGAAGAATTTAACCTCCTGTTCAGTTCTGCCCGAAAGCCATAGAAATGCAAGAAGTCAGTTAGGGTGTGACCTTAACTTCAAGTTTTACTCGGAATCATGCAGACTGTACGAGCTATAGAGTTGCCTCATGGCTCCTCCCACCTTTACAGTGGGGGTCTTGATCAGACACTCAGGGTTTGGGATTGTAATACTGGAGAGGTAATTCGCGGAAACTTTCACTCTTCGCTCAGTACCCACCTCTTTGACAATTTCACAATTAGACGTCGTTTTCAAAGCTGATGTTTAACCCCAAATGCGAACTCACTGGGTGTAATTTCTTGCTTTTCACCTACCGGACAATATACTTTACTTCGTATTTCATTTTAATTTATTTTCGAAATCTGAGGGCAACTTATTTCGCTGTACGCTCAAGGCGCTCGAACAAAACCCCAGGGAGAAGCGAAAGATTATACTGAGTTTGTAGACTTGATTTACTGCAGTGCACAAACGTTGTCCCCATGGGTGGAGATGTCGGAGCACTTTTAAGTGCAGCCACGTGGCTCTTTGTTGGTCTACCGAATGAAGTGAAGGTTGGTGGATTCTCCATCGGGCTAATCACATTCTGCTCATGCGCATAATTTCTTTCACCTGCAAAATTTTTAAATATGTGGCTCAATATGATGCTGTGACCGCAGATATGGGACATGCAAACACAAGCTCAGCAAAGTTTGTCTGGACCTCAAGGAATGGTTCACTCTTTAGCAGTCAGCGCAGACATGCTTTTTGCCGGAATTCAAGTAAGTTCTGACGGGCTGCCGATATCGACTGAAAATTTCAACTGGAGCACTGAGAGGCTCATGTTCCATGAATCACTGTCGAGTTATGTAAAATGTTGAAGTTGTCTGAAGACTATGATACATTTGAGAATGTTAACATTTTGTGCCGTTAAATACGTATTCTGATCTGTGTGCTCCAATTTCCAGGATGGCAGTGTTTTGGCCTGGAAGTTCAGCACCATTACAAACGCGTTTGAGCCGGCCGCTTCTTTACTTGGGCACAATGGAGCGGTTATAACGTTAATGATTCATGGCAGCCAGCTTTTTTCAGGCTCTATCGACAAGTCTATCAAGGTCAGTGTATCACCCATGAACACGAGAAACTTATGAATCCCAAAATTTGGCCGAAACACTACTTGTTTATTCCTTCCCAGATGCAAACGCTCAACGCTTGTTGCTTCAGCTAGCATGACATCATTGTAACCTAATTCTTTCATTGTGATCTTCATCAGTTGAGAAGAGATGGTCCTTTTGTTAAGAAACATACGAGCTCTACATTTAGCTTGTCTAACTTGCAGCTGAAGAATATTTCCTTGAAAACATTTAGCTCTGCTTGTGAACTTTTCTACATTCTTGTCTTCTTTGTTTGAATGATCGACGGACATTTGAATCTTAATTTTCATCTCGCTGGTTTGTGCTAGGTTCTTTGCATCCTTAGAACCTGCGGTTGATTATGCACTACTTAACTGAAATTCTATTTTGATTTTCATGATGAACTCGTCAGCTAAAATTTTTCCATGCCTCTTGAGGAGCTCAGCGTTCATGGAGAAGAGTTTAAAGGGTTTTCTCTGCCCTTGACCTTCCCTAATGACATAGGTTAGATGATGTCCATTGGGACAAATGTTCTCTTTCTTATTTATTGAAGATTTCCAACCTTCAAGGGCCCGCTGAAGCTCAAAATTCAACACATAGATTTCTAAGCTGGTCAAACTCTATTCTAGCAGCAACTTATTGCCTTGATCTGTTGCCGTTGTTTTATCACTGAAAGGGTCAACTACAATGCAAATATTACTTTTCATCCGCAACAGTTATCAAAGTCTTTCCGAGTAATTACAAACTTTTAGCGGAGACCTAGACAATTATTACGGATGAACATTACGGATGAACATAAGAATTTACTACCGATTGGATAACCTTCAAAAACATGGTCGTATCTACACGTTGCTCCATCGAATAGAAGACAGTGCAATTATGACACAAAAGGAGTCACACTAGACACAAAAATGTTCATGAGTTGCATATTTTCAGATTGATGTTAACCTTGCTGATTATTAACTAAAACACGAGTTAAGGTTCATGGACCCGTCAGGTATTAACCCGACGGACGAATGATAATCTGCTGAGTTTACAGGGATTTATTAACAGCGTTTTATAAACGTTGTCTATTTTCATTTGTTGTAAATGCTAATTGATAGGAGAGACGAATCAATGCCGAAATAAGAGCCTCTTTTACTAGTCCTTGACAACAGTGTAATATTTTTGGTGTAGACTCTGAGGTCGCTCTCAATATAGAATTTGCTGAGTTTCTCAATAATATCTCGTGAGAATCAAATGGCTAGATGTATAATATGACCAGTCGCCAGCATTTGTTCAATAGTGGCTATATAGAAAATCCGCAAGTTGCTGACTCTACTTGATGTTCTGGTGTTTGCATCTTTCATCAGGTCTGGGACTTAGGAACAGGACAGTGTGTTCAAACTCTTCAAGGTCATACTCATGTTGTGATGCGACTACTTGTCTGGGACAAGTTTTTGCTATCGTGTTCTCTCGACGGCACAGTAAGAGTGAGTTTTTAATTCAAGACATACGTCTGAAGCTTGCTTGTTTCGTGTGGTTTTCTTATATCTTACATTATTTTTTTATTTACAGTGTGTTTGTTATTAGGGTTTGATCTGCTCATTCCGGCTGCCAACGGGTTTCTCACATTATGTCTGATGATTTGATAGGTTTGGGGTCCAAATTCTGAGGGCTTCTTCGAATCAAGATATACACACCCTGAAGACAATGATGTAGAAGTTAATCCACGAAGCGTGAGTAAATTTCTTCTCTCGTTTACCTCATTACGCGTGTTGTTTGAGGAGACCAATGGTCGTTGGCTAGTCCTTATCTTTTAATTTTGGCTGATGCCCAAACTGCACTGCCCGTTTTAGAGCAAGATTTCCTAAACCTAGACGTGTTTATTGCAGGTCGAGTTAGCTGGAGCATTAACCATGTGTGGCACGATGGATTCCTCTGGGAAACCAGTCTTGATATGTTCATACAATGACAATACCGTTCACTTCTACGATCTCCCAACGTGAGTTTATCTGTATGGTCCTTGTAATTGAAGATGCTTACATAAGTGTCACATTCAAGTATGAAGGTTGATGCCGAATGTCATGAAACTGCATTGAAGTGACTTCAGATAAATCGTTTCTGAACCCATTTTGTTCTTGTTTGACGGATTTTTTCGATCAAATTCTGCAAAGACAACAATTCACAAACTTTTTCAAAAATCAGTTCTAGTCAAGACAAGACAAGAACGAGGAAGTCTACGACCTTTCTGGAGAGAAGTAGCTTTAGTTGAAATGAGTAGCATGTCATGTTCATAAAAATAAGTCAGGGTCGTCTGTATAATCACCGAGTGAATCGAAATGATCGTCTCTGAAATATTGTGACTGACCAATGGTTCGCTGAGTACATGCAGGATTCCTCGATGCATTTTCGGAAGTGAATATTAGTGTCGGTATTCTAGAGTCCTGATCTGTATTTGACTGGAATGTGCAGGTTCTCAGAACGAGGAACCATACAAACTCGTGATGAGGTTCGTGCTATGCAAGTAGGCCCGGGAGGTCTTGTATTTTCTGGAGAGGGTAGTGGGGGTGTTAAGGTGTGGCGTTTTGCAGATGCTGCGACTAGTTAAATAAACTAGTGTGTCTCAATGAAAACTTGTGATGTTTAAGTACCGTTGGCAGTAGAAAGTACCACCTGAAAAGAAGATGAAAAGAAGGTGATGTGAAAAGATGAAGGTGCAATGTCGGCGTTCCGAACACTTTTCTGAGGATCTAGATTGTGAACTAGACGAGCCTCTCATTTGGGGCCTTGTTTATCAGTTCCCCTGTTGTTCAGCATTAGATAGGGGAATATTACGGCTGAAAGGAACTGCTGTCACTTCCGTAGAAAGTTAGTCATGACCTTCTTGAAGCGTCTCTTGAACCTCTTGTAGGGATCGGCTGAAGTTAGTACAAAGCTTCCACCTTGCCTGCAAGGAGACCTAAGGTCGATGTAGGCTTTGTTATTTCCCTCATGGCTTAGCCCAAGTCCAGGGTTGGAAAGAGCGGCGGGGTCTTATTTAATTCGAAGGTCTTTTTACCAGTGACCTACTTCTCGCTTTTGCTTTTCCTGCTCTTTCAGAAGTCGAAATACGAGGCACCGATTTCCTTCATCAGCGGTGAAATCTCCGTTGTATTTTTTTCATCTCTATTGATTATGTAATTGAATTATGGAGCTATCAGCGGGAGCATCTAGATGTATGCTGTGTTTATATGTCGCTTGGTATGATAATCGTCTACAGAGTTGACTAAATCCTAGGTTGTTGCTGAGGTGAGTGTTTACGTTTATCATAGAATGGACATTACCATTACATGTGTTGGCTTAGCGAATACAGTTTGTCTTCAAGCGGAGCAGTTATTCTGATGGGAATAAGATTGAGGTCAATCAGTATGGCCCAGGCTTCACGCTTTGCCGCTCCTAATCTGTCTGCTCAGTTCAGTTTGCCTTATGCGCACAGTTGTCTCAGGACATACGGCGCGGACTAGGTTTAACGTTTTCATCATTGTTCTTTTTTCCCTCATGCTTATTTCGACTTGGAGCTTAGAAAACCAGATCCGGACTCCGCCTCATCAGGTGACGGTCTTCCTTAAAATGCATCAGTCAATCGAACACGGGTATGCGGAACATCTTCGAACTGCGTAGAGTTTTAGGATTAATGTTTCACCCAAGTTCATATTTTTATTATGTTAAACTTTGAGATTAGTTACATTTTGCTTGATAAATTTCAACTTGCTGTAAATTGAGAATTTAGATAGTCATAACTGATCAAGTAATGGATATTTCATTAATAAGATTCTCAACAAATTTTCAATAAATTTTTTTTTTCAAAATATAAACGACTTTTTTCATACTAATTTAAAGTGATTTGATTTTAACACAATATTATAATTTCTATCTCGACTTCAAATCTCAAAGTTACAAAGAAGTTACCATCGAATAACACAGCAATTCTTACTGTAGTGTAATTAAAATATATCTCCCATGATCAATATTACTTGGAATTAAAATTATTATTCTAGTATTTTCGCAGAATTAAGATCATTAATTTCAACTTTTGTTCTAATCCATTTCAAATAATTCTCAAGATCACTTGGATTTATGCTTACAGTTTCTCGTTTTCTTCACATATGAGCTCATGCGATATCATAGGCAGCTATAATTAGTTTGCATTATTTTTCAATATCATTTGAAATATGCTTCCACTTTGTTCCGTTTTCTTCACGTATGAATGTTAATATTGCGCTCTCTTCCGCTCGTCAAAGTTTCCCATCATTTAAATTTGCAATGTTTCAATAATATATATCTCACCTTATCACATTTCACTTCAATAATAAAAACATGTGATTTAAATCATGAGTGCATTAGTCAAATGCATTCACACACATAGTTACAACAGACTACACATATGTGCTTTGATTTAACAGGTTATTTCCATTTAACAATGAAGGTTTTGCTGAGATTTAGTTAAAAAATGCTATCTTGAACTCTATTATACATTGATAATTTGAACAATTTCATTCATTTAGATGAAGCTATCGTGAGTTACTTAAATATGGTAATAGTAATTCTAATTTTCAAAAACTAAACTTTCTTCTAAAATTTCTAGAAATAAAGTTGTCTACCTTTTAACCTAGAGTTAATTAGAATTATACTATAGTAAAAAATAGATAAAGTAAAAAAAAATTACTTATAATATTTACTTGTGCTATTGATGCCAAACATACCAAATAGCACAATGTGTTCTAACACATCACAAAGAAATAATTTTAATGATCATAGATTCAGTTTTCTGGCAATCTTAATAAGTTCAATCTTTTTATTGAAAATTGTATCTTTGATAAATTGATATACAATGTTAATGTGTTTCATTTTGTTGTACATCATTTGATTCAAGTAAGATGGAAATCATTCTATCACAATGAATATTGACAATTTTTTGTTACGATCTCATTTAAGTGGTAAGTCTAATGAACAAAATAGTTTTCTTTGTTGTTTCTATTGACGATATATACTCAAAATTCATTAAACGCTAAGTTAGGGACAAAATTTTCAAATATTTTTCGACCAATGCATTCATCATCAAGTGCAAATACATATGTTGTTGTAGATTTCTTCTTGTATGTAATCAACATCAGATAGCAATAATTTGATATTTTTTGATAAATTTATAAACAAAAACATTCTCTTTAATTTTCTTGAGATATTTGAAAATTCTCTTCATGTTTTTTCAATGTATCTTTCTCAATATAATTTTAACTTGCTCACCTTGCCATAGCTAAATCAATATCAAGTCTGGTGCATATCATCAAATACATCAAGTTGCACATTGTTTTGTAATAAAAAATTGATGACATCAAAAATTTTGAAGTATGAAATTTTTTAGTATTTTTTGGTAAGTTAGATTTATTAACACATTGAAAAAACTTGATTTGACTTCATCAAGCTTTTTATTCTTCAAATTTCTATGAACATCTATCCAAAATATACTCTTGCACCTACTCAAATCATTATACAAATTCTAGTATCTATTCACGTCATATGGATTTTATTTCAAAATGAGCATGTGATCTATGTAAGATATTGAAATAATAGGAATGATAATGTTTCTATTTTTTTATACAAATGAATATTTCAATTTTTGTGAATATTTTTAAAATTTCTTGAATTCATCAAATCTTGCATTTCATTTTTAGAAACTTGCTTCAATTCATATGATGATTTCACCAATCTACAAACTACCTTCCACTTGATCATTCGTTTTTAAGCCAACTGATTATCTCACTTTTTCTTTTTTTTAAGTATTCATAACTAAATCCATGTGATTTATAACTAGATCAAATATTGCAACAAATGCACTAACCAATTCAATTGTAGCATACTTTGCAAAAAATGATAATATTTGATTGTAATTTACATTTTTGAATATGAAATAATTAGTCGTCAATTTGGTTTAAAAGAATCTTTTGTCATTATTTTCTGGATTGTACTTTAGATTTTTCACTCATTTGCTAGCTATCAATCAAATTTTGTATCTTTAGAAGCTTGACAAGCTTTTTGTTTTGTTATCCATCAAGAATTTTATCTCACGCTTCATGAAAGTATTCCAATCAAATTATTACAAATGTTTGAATTTCTTTCAATTTTATTTTTTTTTCCAATTTTAACGCAATGTCATCATCATACTCCATCTCAATATCATAATCTCAAAATATGAATAATCTATGATGCATATTTTATAACAAATTCAATCTCAATATCAAAATCTCAAAATATGAAAAATTTGTGTTGCAAATTTTATCTTTATCTAAGATTTATCTTTATCAGTACAAGAAGCGGAAATAATACTTTGTTTCTTTCAGTGATGTAGCCTCATTCACAGATTATTGTATCACATAATCTATGATTCTTCACATCGCTAGCATATTCAAAAAAACAATAAAAGTTGAAGATATTGATTAACTTGATCATACTTTTCTTAGATATGAGAGGATGAATTTTTTAACAAGTATAATTTGTCACACCATTGTGATTCAATTCAAACAATGTCAAAAAATGCATTGATTGCATAAAAACAAGAAAAATATAGCCAATACATTGCAAAATAATTGGCTTTAGCTCCAAATTCATATAATAAATTAAATTGGCTCAACGAATTGTACTTTCGTCAATAATATTTGGTTGAAATTTTCAAAAGAAATGATTGTTGCAAATTATAAATCATTATAGCATGAAAAATATTCCTTCTCTTTGTAATACCTTTAAAACTCTTCAAAAGTATGAATTTTGTCATTATCTATATACAGCAGAGTACTTCAATAGATACTCATACCCATGGATATTCAAAACCCATCCATATACATGCATAAATGACTGGTTAATGGGTATGAGCTATCATGGATGGATGGATAATGGATGAGTATTTGGTTCCCATTGGTATGGTATCTATTGCAAAATTTTGATATCCACCTCCAGAAAAAACTCTTCCGCAACTCTTTACGGGTCCAAATGGAATCAATCAGCATACTTCATTTGAAAATCATGACACATTCTGTTTGGGCAATGGCCATGTCACACATTTAAAGAGTTCACTTGCATATAGTGATATTATCAATTGACTTTTGATCTATCATATGTTTATGTTTTTATCATATTGTTGATTAAACACAACTTTGCAACCTGAAGTGAAACTTTATCCTTCCCAAAGAATCTTTTCAAAATTTTGATCACAAAACTCTTCTCACATGATTTGTACTTCTCTCGTTCCATCCTGTGATGACTCTGCTATGTTAATATATCTCCAAGCTCTTAGCTAAGGTTAGTGTTACTCTAGTTAGGACAAAACTAGAGTAAGTGCAGATGCATGCACTATGGTAGGTGAGTAGGTGGCAACAGATGCATGCACCTACTAATCTGGATAAGATGTAACCAAGGTTAAAGCTTGTGACCATGGTTAAGTTACTTGTACCAACCCAAATTTTTGAGTATAAGTAAAGAGGAGGAGCCAAGGCTCCCTCATTCTCTTCTATCTACTAGAGTGGATGTCTCTCTCTCTCTTGATGTGAGTGCCCTTAAGATTGTAACATGATAATTAGAGCGTTGAGGAGAGTGACAGTAGATTCTTCAGGACGCACAAGGCGGTGCGTGGAGGAGAAGAGGAGCAGAATCAAACGGCGAAGTAAAGTTCGTCGAGAAGGAAGTGCTGCAGCAAGCGCGACAGTCGGCAAGTGAAGAACGCCAACCGAAAGCGAATCGACTGAAATTTGGCGTGGTGATTCGCGAGAAGGGGTGAAAAGAAAATATGACCGCATATCTTCTGTCACCTCAGATTTGGCCTTCGGAGTTGTTTCGGCCTCCGTTTTGACAGTATTCTGATCACCGCAACGCATCTGCGATCCAAGAAGAAACTGAAGCAAGGCATCAAAGATTCAAATGAATCAAGGTATCCATGATCCATCAATATTTCTGCAATCTCTAGTGTTTCAAATCAATCTTTGACTGATATGGCGTCAAAGTCTTCGACAGTTCTTAGTATATAGTTTCGGAGTAAATTTCATGAACGAGGTCATGAATAGTCTAGTTCCAGTTCTTTTGCCCATTGTGGAATATGGACGTGAGTGGATGTGCACTATCTACATCCTGTGTTAGTACCAGAGACTAGCATCTTTTATAATCTGTTATCAAATCA